CCCTGGCATGGCCGGTTCCAAAGCTGGAGCAGCGCTGGAGGCTGCGTGCCCTTGGCAGGCCCTGGAGGAGCCTCCACTCGTGCTGCTCCCACATACTTGAGTCCTTACGGAGTGCCGGGAGGATCCTGCCTCACGCTCTGGCTCCGGCTCCTCTCAGCAGGAATTACTTTTCCACAGCTCCTTGCTGCTAAAATGTTCCCCTGTCTTCTCCTCGCTCCCCTCCCTGGCCAGACTGGGGCTGGAATGCCTCTGGAAGTGCCTCGTGGGTGTTGACCCGTGGCCAAGGGATGCACAGGGCCAGGCATTGCCCTCGGTTACTCTGGAGGGCTCAGAATGTGGTGTTTCGCCAGCAAAACAAGGTGCTGGGAGTGGTTTTATTAATTCATTAATTACACACCAGAATGAGTCACTGGGTGGCCCCCAGAAGTGTCACGGAGCAGTGTGGGGTTCTGCTGGGGGGAGTCCTGGGAAGCAGGGAATATCAAGTGATAAACGTCCAAGAACTTCATCTGAGACTGGAAATTCCTTTGAAACTCCCTTCAAAATCAGAATATTTTCATCATCATCACCACTCCTATTTTTGTTAATTCCTCAATCCCATGGTGGGATCTAAAACCAGGACACAAGATGTTGGATTGAGTTTGTGGTTTTGCTGCCGTACTCTGAGCAAAACACCCCGGCTCTGTCTGCTTCCCCTCCCTCTGCACCCCCAAACCTCTCCCAGCCCAGGGACCAAGGCAGGAAGTAACTCTGGGGCCTTTGGGAGGGTTTAACCCTTTTTAACCCATCTGCCCCCCGCCCACTCCCCCATCATACCCATTAATTAGCTCAACAGCAATTAAGGAATTATCTATTAATGACGCTGGTCCTGAGGGTTTCCTTGTTCGGGGCTATGCTGCTTCTCAAGGCAAAACCTTGGGGAACAGAATGGGGAATTTGGGGTTCATTCTGCCCTAGAGCTGTCTTAAAGTCAAAATCTTTGGATATTTAATGGATGCTCCAGAGCTCCTTAATCCCAAGCCCCTTAATCCAGGGCTCCTCAATGCCTGCCTTTTGTCCAGGTAACAGAGCAGGGACACAGGGGCTTTTGGACCTTCTCATTAGATGGGGCCTGCCTCCAGTTTACCTGAAGTAGAGCGTGGCAGTGTCTCCCAGGATTCATGTTCTCCACGGGCTGCAGGACACTGCTGTGTCTGGAACTCCTACCCTGCTGCTGGCGGGGCTGTGCCAAGCGGCCACGCGTGCCCCGCGGTCCCACCCAGCCCATGCCTGCTGGCCCTGCCACTGCCAGCAGCGAGTGAGATCCCCTTACACATTCCCCTCCCAAAATAGTTCATGTTGAGCCTCTGGCCGTGCCGGCCAAAGCCCCCAAGCCCTGTCTTTTGGGGCCTCTCCCTGGGAATGCCGTGATCCCAGGGCTGCCGCAGCTCCTCCTCCTCCTGGGAGTGCGCACAGGAGAGAAGCGGTGGCTGCAGCTCAGCTTTTGTTGGCAGAGCGTCAGGAGGTTGTGCTGAGAGGGAGGAAGTTGAGTTGAGTTTGAGGTGGGGTGGAGGATGTTGAGGTTGCATTGAGGAAGTTGAGGATGAGAAGGTTGTGCTCAGGAGGTTGAGTGGAGGAGGTTGAGGTTGGGTTGGGGTGAAGGCTGAGGTTGGGTTGAGGAGATTGAAGTTGTCTTGAGGCTGAAATTGAGAGGAAGTTGAGGTTGAGTAGAGGAGGTTGAGCTTGAGCTGAGGTTGAACTGAGAACGTTGCGTTGGGTTGAGGTTGTGTGGGTGCTCACCGGGCCCTCGTCCTGCCCGAGCTGACCCAGCGTTGGGTTGAGGTTGTGTGGGTGGTCACCGGGCCCTCCTCCTGCCCGAGCTGACCCAGGTGCTCCCTGTGCTCCCTCGCAGACGATCCGGACCCTGACGATGGCTTCAACTACAAGCAGATGATGGTGCGGGACGAGCGGCGCTTCAAGATGGCCGACAAGGACGGGGACCTGGCGGCCACCAAGGAGGAGTTCACGGCCTTCCTGCACCCTGAGGAGTATGACTACATGAAGGACATCGTTGTGCAGGTGGGGCCAGCACAGGGGCACTTTGGGAAGCTCTGGTGGCGTGGCAGGAAGTGCCCCGGGCCTGGCTCACGCTGGCATCTTCTTGCAGGAAACCATGGAGGACATTGACAAGAACGGCGATGGTTTCATTGACCTGGAGGAGTACATTGGTGAGACACTGCTCCATGTCCTGTCTGTGTCCCCTCAGTGTCCCTGTCCCGTGGGAGCCATTGCCACTGTGTCCTTCCCAGTCCTCCCCCTCACAGAATGTTCTTCTTTCTCTCAACTTCCACCTTCCCCCAGGCCTCCACCGAGGATTTTCAGGCGAAATCATGACCCAGGTGGTTCTTTGGGGTTTTGGGGATGGATTTAGAGAACTGAAGGTTTTGGTTCAATCCCTGGGGTGGGGACAGGGCCATGGGGCTGATCCTGATCCTGCTGTCCCCTCAGGTGACATGTACAGCCAAGATGGTGATGCTGATGAGCCTGAGTGGGTGAAGACGGAGCGGGAGCAGTTTGTGGAGTTCCGGGACAAGAACCGGGACGGGAAGATGGACAAGGAGGAGACCAAGGACTGGATCCTGCCCTCAGACTACGACCACGCTGAGGCTGAGGCCCGGCACCTCGTCTACGAGTCCGACCAGGACAAGGTGGGCCAGCAGCTCTGGGGGGATCTGGGGAGCGGGCCGGGAGGAGCGGGGACATAGCGGGATGTGGCATTCCCTGCAGGACGGGAAGCTGACGCGGGAGGAGATCGTGGACAAGTCAGACCTGTTCGTGGGCAGCCAGGCCACGGACTTCGGGGAGGCGCTGGTGCGGCACGATGAGTTCTAGGCTCGACGCCGGCACCCCTGTGTGGGCTCCGTCCCTCGCCGAGGCCATTCCTGCCGCGGAGAAACCCCATCCCGGCTCCCGGGGACGGGGCTCGGGAAAGCCACACTCCCCCGGCACCTGGGGCTCGTCTCGTTGTGGGTTTTCCTCGGATTTTAACGGCTTTTGGGTTATTTTTGTATGTTTTGGTTTTACCATGTGTGGGAACAGCTCCCCTGGCGCGGGGGCAGCGACGGGGCTGCCGGGGCTGCGGGGCCCGGGGGCCTGGGGGGGAGTGGGAAATTCACAGAGGGATTGGGATTGGAATTGCAGTTGGAATAAAAACTAGAATTGGAATTGGAATTAAAGTTGAAATTTAAATTAAAATTGGAATTTGAATTGGACTGAAATTTGAATTAAAAATGGAATTGGAATTAAACATTGAAATCAAAGTTGAAAATTGAAATTGAAATGGAATTGGAACCAAATAAGTGAAATTGAATTAAATGGAAACACTGATGTGAAATTGGAATGAAAAGTGAACATTGAAATTAAAATTCAAACCCGAGAAAAGCCCAAAAACCGTCAGAGCAGCAGCAGGACCCAGGGGGTGACCCGGAGGTGACCCCAGGGAGGTTGGACCCTCCTCCCCTGTCGCTGCCCCCTGGGATCTGGGCAAGACCCTTCCCCCCAGCCCCACTCCAAGTGCCTTGAATCCCCCAGACCTCTGGGGGAGGGCCTCATCCCACCCCGCTCTGGGACAATTCCCGAGGTTTTCTCTCTTCTGTGTTGTGTCCCCCCGCAGCCACCAGAGCTGCGTGGAATCGGGCCCGGCCATCTCCAAATTCCCAGGTTTTCCTTTAAATCCTTTCCCAAAGACTTCCAAGGGCTGACCGGATCCTCCCATCTCCTCCTCCCCCTCCTCTTTCTACTCCTCCTTTTCCTCCCCTCCCTAAATCCAGCAGTGAGTGGGTCAGGAATATGGCCTCATGGAGGGCTTGGGAATCTGGGAATGCTGGGGGTGATCTGGGGATGTCGGGGCCGGTTTGGGACACCAGGGATGATTTGGGACAGCCAAAGTGATGTTTGGAACCCTGGGACAGCCTCTGGTGCAGCCACCCAGCCCTGCAACAGCCCCTCTCCTAACATCCCCCGGCTCCCATCCGTGAGGATTTGGAGCCCTGTGACAACTCCGGACATGGATTTTCCGCCTCCTCCGGGTTTATTCCTCAGTTTTCTCCTCGGGCTGATTGAAGGGATCCGGATCGGGTGGAACTCAATAAAACTGTTCACCCCCGATGGGCCGAGGGGGACGGACCCCAGCTCCCTGTGTCCCCCCACACCGGGATCTGGGAGGGCCCCCTTGCACTGAGTTCAGGCAGTGGGGGGCCCTGAGGAGGGGCAGGGGGCGACCGGGTGGGGATGTGGGGGGACACGAGGCCTGTGGGACCTCTGCCCGTGGGGCTTGGGGGGCTCACCCCCCACAGAGGGAATCCAGCCCCATGGATGGGGGGGCTCAGTCCCACCCCCACCCCACAGATGGGGACCCAGCCCCATGGATGAGGAGCTTATCCCCACGGATGGGGGCCCTTAGGTCCCACCCAGCCCCACAGATGGAGATGGGGAGCAGCATCCCATCTCCCTGCCCTCCCCACGTGTGAGGCCTAAAGGGGGACAAGGGAGCAGTGTCCCACCATGGCACCACCCTGGAGCACAGCCACCCCCGGGACCTGTCCTGCCCCACAGTGGGGCACAGTTCCCCCTGGGACCCACCCTCTCTCCCTGCCATGGGGCACAGCCACTCCCAGGACCTGTCCTGCCCTGGAGTGGGGCACAGCCACCCCTGGGACCCCCATCCCACCCAGCCATGGGGCACAGGCTCCACCAAGGCCTCCACCCCATCCCACCATGTGGCACAGCCAGCCCCCGGCTCCCCCATTGCCACCCTGCTGTGGGGCACGGCTGCCCCATGGACGCCCGTGCCGTGGGTGCCCTGTCCCACGGTGCTCAGTGGGTCCCCGTTGCGCTCAGACCGCGGCCATGGTTTATTGTCCCACCCGCGCTACATCCTAGGCTGGGCAGGGCCCCCGGCCCCACGGTGGGGGCAGCTGGGGGATAACGGGGGGGCAGCCGGGGGTCCTGGGGGCTGGGGTGGTGCCAGAGCCCCTCAGCTGGGGCCGACCTGGCTGGAGGACACAGAGGAGACCTCGGTGCGCTGGGCCGAGCTGGACACCTCGGAGTCGTCTGTCATGGGCCGCCCGCACACCGTCTCCATGATGCAGGCGCGGAACTGCGGGGACACAGGTGGCACGGGTCACAGGAGAGGGGACAGCTCAGCCTGGGGATCCCGCTGCTCCTGTGTCTGGCACCCACACTGGCCCCATCTCCTGTCCCTGGACTCATGGTACCCCCAATCGTGTAAGTGTTCCTGGATGCGCCATCCCCAGCTGTCCCTGGTCCCCCAATGTCCTTGAGCACCCCTGCATGTCCCCGCTGCCCCAGCGTCCTGGGTGTCCCCCTCTTCTCTGTGTCCCCCTTGCCAATGTCCCTTTATCCTGAGGTGTCCCCTCACATGGGTATCCCCAGTTGTTCCCTGTGCTTGGTTCTCCCTGAGTGTCCCAGGTCCTTGGATATCCTTGGGCACCCCAGATGCCCCCATCGCCAGGTGTCCCTGCGTGTCCTCTTTGCCCTTGTGTCCTGGGTGTCCCCCTGCCCGCGTCTGCGGGTGTCCCGGTGTCGCTGGCGTCACCTGTTTGTTCATGAAGCAGTAGATGATGGGGTTGTAGACGCAGGAGCTCTTGGAGAAGAAGGCAGGGATGGTGACGAGGCGCAGGTCAATGCCGTGCTCGCGGTTGTTCACCATGTACATGGCCAGCGCCGCGTAGGGCACGTAGCACATGCAGAAGGACCCCACCATGACCACGACCATGCGCGACACCTCCCGCTCGGCCTTCTGCGTCGTGGCCGACTCCTGCTGCTGCGCCGCCACCTGGGACAGGGACAGGGACACCTCGGGCCTGCCCGGGCTGCCGGCCCCTGCCCAGCCCCTGTGCAGCCCCCTGCACCTGCCCAGTCCCCTGCCCATGCGCCTGTCTGCCCCCTGCCCTTCCTCCTGTCTGCCCCCCTGCCCACCCTCCTGTCTGCCCCCCTGCCCATCCTCCTGTCTGCCCCCCTGCCCATCCTCCTGTCTGCCACCCTGCCCCTCCTCCTGTCTGCCCCCCTGCCCCTCCTGCCTGCCCCCCTGCCCATCCTCCTGCCTGCCCCCCTGCCCATCCTCCTGCCTGCCCCCCTGCCCATGCGCCTGTCTGCCCCCCTGCCCATCCTCCTGTCTGCCCCCCTGCCCATCCTCCTGTCTGCCCCCCTGCCCATCCTCCTGTCTGCCCCCCTGCCCCTCCTGCCTGCCCCCCTGCCCATCCTCCTGCCTGCCCCCCTGCCCATCCTCCTGTCTGCCCCCCTGCCCCTCCTCCTGTCTGCCCCCCTGCCCCTCCTCCTGTCTGCCCCCCTGCCCATCCTCCTGTCTGCCCCCCTGCCCATGCGCCTGTCTGCCCCCCTGCCCATGCGCCTGTCTGCCCCCCTGCCCATGCGCCTGTCTGCCCCCCGCCCCTCCTCCTGTCTGCCCCCCTGCCCCTCCTCCTGTCTGCCCCCCTGCCCATCCTCCTGTCTGCCCCCCTGCCCCTCCTCCTGTCTGCCCCCCTGCCCATCCTCCTGTCTGCCCCCCTGCCCATGCGCCTGTCTGCCCCCCTGCCCATCCTCCTGTCTGCACTCCTGCCCATCCTCCTGTCTGCCCCCCTGCCCATCCTCCTGCCTGCACTCCTGCCCATGCGCCTGTCTGCCCCCCTGCCCATCCTCCTGTCTGCCCCCCTGCCCCTCCTCTTGTCTGCCCCCCTACCCCTCCTCCTGTCTGCCCCCCTGCCCATCCTCCTGCTTGCACTCCTGCCCAGTCTTCTGTCCAAGTAACCTCCCCTCCCTTCCTGCATCCCTTCATCCCTCCAGTCACCTCTCCCTCCCTCCTGCTCCTCATCCTGCCCTCCCTCCTTGCTCACAGTCAATTCTCCATCTCTCCTTCCCTTGTTCTCTCCCTCCCTCCTGCCTCCCAGCCCCTCTTCACTCTCCATCCCTCACTCCCAGCCACAGGTGTGCCTGACCCCAATGCCCCCCGTGCCCCCCGTGCCCCGGGGACTCACAGCCCGCAGGGCGCTGAGCAGCTGGGAGTAGGAGAAGATGATGAGGGAGAGGGGGACGATGAAGCAGAAGATGAAGAGGAACCAGGTGTAGTACTCGCTCTTGTACTTGGTGCCCACCGTGTACCAGTCAGGGCCGCAGGAGCACTGCAGCCCCTCGGGGATGTACCTGCAGAGCTGTGCTCAGCCCCCGCTCTGCACCAGGGGCACCCCAGGTGTCCCACAGCACCCTGGGGCACTTCTGGTGCCTCAAGCAGTCCCCTGGCACCCCCACGGCACCCCAATGACCCCCACTTGCCACTGTTGCACCCCCTGCCCCCACGCCCGCTGCGTCCCCACCTGCTCCAGCCGAAGAAGGGCGGGATGGCGACGCCGACGCCGATGATCCAGGTGGCCGCCACGACCAGCAGCGCGTGGCGGGAGTTGAAGCGGAAGTTGCCGAAGGGTTTGCAGATGACGATGTAGCGCTCGAAGGCCAGGAAGGCCAAGGACCAGCCTGTCACCAGCCCTGGGGGAACAAGGCCACCGCTGGCCTCGCACAACCGCCCGTGGCCACCAGAACTAGGGGTCACCGCAATGCCCATAGTCCCCCAGGACACCGGGTCACCCCAAGTCCTACGACCCAGCAGAATGCAGTAATCACCCCTCCCTTCAGGCCTCAGTGGTCACCCCAGCTCCTGCAGCCTCAACAGCTCACAGGGCTCTACCCTTCCCGTGGCCCTTACCCATCTTGCCACCTTCAGCCCCACCAGACCACAATGATCCCAGACACAAATTCCCCAGCCCCAGAAGAACACGATGGTCACCCCCACTTCGAGCTCCACCAGACCCCAGTGGTCACCCCAACTCCTACAGTCCCACCAGACTACAGTGGTCAGCTCCTAAAGGTCCAGAAGGTCACCCCAATCCTGCACCCAAGCAGCCCATGGTGGTCAACCCAACTCCCAAAGCCTTAGCGGAACGTGTTGGTCATGATACCTGAGCCCTACCAGACCTTGGTGGTCACCCCAACTCCTACGGCCCCAGGAGATCACTGTGGCCACCTCTGGCCCCAGTAGCCCTCAGTGGTCACTCCATCGTCTCTGGCCGCCCCATGGTCCCCTCGTACCTCCGGTGGCCCCTGCAAAGCCCTCAAAGGCACACATGTGCTTCCCGAAGACAAAGTATCCCTGGGAGCTGGCGATGAAGACGGTGAAGATGCAGAAGACGCAGCACATGAGGCCGCTGACGGAGATGTTCACCAGGATGTAGTTGAGCGGCTGCCGCAGCTTCTTGTACTTGATGGTGACGATGAGGACGATGGCGTTCAGGGGCGTGCCCGCCACGAACACCAAGCCCATGAAGATGGTCTGCAGGTAGAAGGCCCACATGGGCGCGATGTGGTACTGGGGCCCATCCCAGGGCCCCACCGACGACTGGTTCTTGAACAGGTAAAACTCTTCCTCGTCCATGGTGGCGCTGGCGGGGGGGGCGCCCACCCCCCTGATATACCCTGCGCCCCCAAAGCGGCTTAGGGGGGATCAGGGCTCAGCCCGGCCAAACTTGGGGATTAGGGTGGGCTAAACTGGGCTCAGCCCCTAATCGGCCCCCTGAGCCGGGTCGAGCCGATTGCCGGTGCTCTGGAGGATTTGGGGGGCGGGGCAGAAGGGCTCCCCCCAACATCTGGGTATGGGGAGGGTCCCCAGGGGACTCTAAGCTTGATCCTGCTCCTCCTGAGGTGTTCAGGTGTCCCCAGGTGTTCCCAAGCCCAAGTCTTGGTCCCACCACAACAGCTAGAGGTCCCCCGCCTTAGTCCTGATCCCAACAGGGTCCTCAGTGTGCCCCAGGGGTCCCCAAGCTGTGTCCTGGTCACCCCCAGAATGGCCAGGTGTCCCTAGGTATCCCCAGGGGTCCCCAGGTGTCTCCAGCCTCGATCCCACTCCCCCAGGGTGCCCCGGCCCTGGATGCTTTGGAAAGAACTCGGAGTTTCCTCATGAGCTCACCTGCTGCCCCCCACCCCAGCACCCCAGGGTGCCCCCCAGGTGTCTCCCCCTTCAAGCGATTGTCCCCAGTTCTGGGCTTGGGGCATCCCTGTGCTGGGGAGAGCCCAAGTGAGGTGGTGGTGTCTGGGGGTATCAAGGGGTGGGGGGAAGACTGAGGGGGCACTGCTTGAGGTGGGGTGTCTGAGAGGGGGTGTTCATTTTGGGGGTGCAGTGCCAGGGGGTCATTGATGGAGGGTCACTTTGGGGGTGTGCTGCTGGGACTCGAGTCCCAGAAGACTCCCAGCGTTTCCTGCCCTCCCTCCCCCCTCTTTCCCTCCCCCAGCCTGTGGCACCCCCGGGGAACAGGAAGGATGAGCAGAAGCTGCTTAGGGGGGGATTACAGGGCCCCCCCGGGCTGGGGGTGCCTATAAAGGCTGGTGCAGGGACCTCACTGTGGCACCCCGGGACCCCCAGGGAAGGGGGATCTCATTTGTGGGGAGGGGGACACCTTCAGGGAACGCTGTGCCCTGGGTGTGTGTGGGGTGCCCACCCTGGGGTGTCCTGGGGCACCCTCGGCTTCTGTCCAGCTCTGGGGCAGAGATGGGGCCAGGGGGGCTCAGGGACGGCCAGAAATGGGGCCAGGGGAGGAACAGGGGGATTGGGTGGGCTGAACCCCCAGCCCATGTTTTACGGGCTGTACTGGATCATATTGGCCTGTACTGTACTGGTTTGTACTGGGCTGTACTGGACTACACTGGGCTGTACTGCACTGTACTGTGCCATGGGATTGCATTGTGCCCTGTTGGGTTGTACTGGGTTTGGTCATACTGCACCAGGCTCTACTGGGCCGTACTGGGTTGTACTGGGCCGTACTGGGTTGTACTGGGCTGTACTGGGCTGTACCGGGTAGGGTCAGCTCTGCTGGTGCTCTACTGGGCGTCCCATGGAGGGGCACCCCCAAATGGGTGCCCCAGGGTGGTGACCCAGGGGACAGACACCCCACAAAGGGTCCCCCCGCCGTGTCCCCCGTGGAGCTGCGGGCACTGTGGGCACTGTGAGCTGTGGAGGGGGGACACAGCGCAGGGGCTGTGGGGGATGGCAGAGCCAGGGCACGACGGAGCTGTCAGCTTCGGCAGGGGCTGCCCGGGGAGGTTTGGGGTGCCCATCCCCACAGGTGTCCAAGGGAGGCCTGGAGGTGGCACCCAGGGCTCCGGGACAAGGAGGAGTCAGGCACAGCTTGGACTCCATGGCCGGGAGGGCTTTTCCAGCCTCGGGGGTTCTGTGGTTCTGTGGTTCTGGGATTGCGGATGGAGCAGGGAAGGGACTCGGGGGATGCTGGGCATGGAGCTCCGGGGGCTGCAGCGGTGGCACTGCCCTGCCAGGAACCCCAGCACCCACCAGCGCCCACCACCAAGCCCCCAGCACCCACTGGTACCAGCAGCACCCACTGGTACCAGCAGCATCACCCCCGCACGGGACCCATGGCCCCCCAGGCCCCCCAGTGCTCTGTCTCCAGCCCCATGGCCCCCGTGGGACTCCTAGGGCCTCCAAGTCGCTGCTCTTGTGCCCTCCTGGATGTGGCCCCACACATGTCCCTGCTGTCCCCATGGCCACGTTCCCTGTGTCCCACTGTCCATGTACCCCTCGTTCTCGTGTCCCTTATGCCCCTCAGCCCTGGCCCCTTGTCCCCATGGCCACATCCCCAGTGCCCCCCTGTTCCCCTCTCTGTGCCCCCAGGCTACCGATGGCCCCCTCCCCATGTCACCCCACCCTGAGGACCCTGAGTGCTTTCAGCCCCAGTGTCCCGAGGAAACAGAGCTGGGGACAGGCTGGGGGGGCACTGGACTCAGGATGTCACCACGGGCAGCAGTGGCTCTGCGCTGTGTCCCCTCCCCAGGAGACACTGGCGGGGTCAGGTCCTTTGTCCCCTCGTGGCCTCCACCATCATCTTCCTCTGCCCTGGCTGCAGCAGAGCCGAGACCCTGGGGGCACTGGGATCCCCCTGGGTCCCCCCGACCTGTCCCAGCAGCATCCTGAAACCCCATCCTGGAGTGCACTGCCCCCCCCCGCAGTGCCCTGACTGCTCAGAGCCCCCTGGACCACCCAAACATCCTGACCCCCCCCAACCCACTCGCTCCCCTTCCCACACCTGCCATGGGCTTGGGGGTCCTGGTGGGGGACCCTGTCGCCACCCCCCTTGCGTGCCCTCCCGGCCCCTGCCCCAGGTATTTTGGGTGATGATGTGTTGGGGGCGCTCCCCCCGCGTGCCCCCCCGGGTATTTTGGGTGCCGGTGCGTGGCTCTGACTCGGCAGGTTATTTTTAGGTGTTGGCGCAGGCGCCACCGCGTCACCCCCCCCACGTCACCCCCCCACGTCACCCCTTGTCACCCGTTGTCACCCCGGGGTGCACCCGCACCGCCCCCCCTTCCCTTGGAAGCTTCCAGGCAGGCACCGGAACAGGGGGAACACGATACTCCCCAAATCGCCCCCCCAAAGGACCCAGATGTGGGTCACCCGAGTGTCCCCCCGCCCCTCCCAAGGGAGCTGAGGAGGCCGCGGGTGTCTGGAAAGGGGGGAGACACAAGAGAGATTTGGGGGGCAGAGGGGCTCAGGGTGCACCCCAAATATGACCGAACCCCCTCCCCAGGCTTGTGGCATTGCCATGGGGAAACTGAGGCACAGCCAGGGGACCCACGGCTGGAGTCACTGGGGGGAGTGGGGAGCAACGGGGGGGGCTGGGTGGGGGTTCCATGGCAGGGGTCGTTCTGGGGGGGTCCGAGCGGGCTCCCCCAGAGGGGATCCTGGGAGGGTTTGTGGGATCTCAGTTGTGCCCCTCGGGGCTGGGGGAGAGTTTTAATGTGTTTTTCAGGGGTTCCCAAGGGGAAAGGGATGAGTGAGGGGGTTCCGAGTAAGTTTGGGGGGCGTCTTTGGGGGCGTTTTGGGATGCGTTGTGCTGTGGGGTGCCTGGGGTGTTTGGGTATCAAGGTACAGGTGTATCAGGATAACAGGGTGTTGGGCTGCCTGGGCTATAGGGTGCAGAGGTTTTGGGGTGTCGAGGTTGCAGGTATTTGGGATTATTATGGGTGGATTCTGGATTTTGGGGGGCCAGAGTTTCAGGGGTGTCTGGGTGCCGGGATTTGGGGTACCAGGGTTTCAGTGTAGGGAGGCTGGGGTGTCTGGGGGCCGAGGTTTGGGGGTGCTGAGGTTTGAGGGTGCCAAAGTTTAGGCATGCCAGTGGTTCAGCGTGCAAAGGTTGGGGGTGCCAGTGTCTGGGGGCAGGGGGTTCTGAGGTGCTAGAATTTAGGAGTTTATGACACTGGACTTAAGGGAATTCGGGGAGTTTTGGGGTGTTGGGGTGCCAGTGTTTGGGAGTTGGTGGGTGCCGGCGTTTTGGGGTGCTTGTGTTGGTGAGTGTCGGTGTTTTGGTGGGCCGGTGTTTGAGGTTACAGAGGTTTTAGGGATGTCAGAGATTTTGGGGTGCTGATGTCTGTGCGTTTTTGGAACTGCCAGTGTTTGGGGGTTTCGGGAGTACCGCAGTTTAGGGGAGCCTTGGCCCGGGAGTGCTGAAGTCGGGGGCTCCGGGGTGTGCTGGGATTCGGGGTTTCGGGAGGTGCCGGGGTCCGGGGGTCCGAGGTTTGGGGAGCACCGAAGTCCGGCGGTCTTGGGGGTGCCGGTGTCTGGGGCTCCGGGTGTGAGGCCGGGGCTGTAAATAGCGACGGCCGGGCCCCCCACCCCCGGCCGGTCGGGCGGTCTTTCCGTCCCTCCTGCTCGGTCCCTCCCCGGGACGGGGCGGGCCGGGCCGGGGCAGCGCTTAAAGCCGCCGCCGCCCCCGGCCCCGCCACTTGCCGCCGTCGCCCCTGGCCCAGGAACGCTCCTGGGACGCTTCGCGAACACACGGGAGCTCGCCGCGAACGCCGCTCCGGGAACTAAGCGGAACCGACCCGGGAACCTACCGGACCCCCCAGCCCTCCGGGACCCGCCGCTCCGCTCCGGGAACCCACCGGGAACCAACCCCACCACCGGGAACTCGCACCGGGACGGACCCGGGACACCAGCCCCCGACCTCGGGAACAGGGAACCCTCGCTAGGACACCAGTACCGAGCAGCGAACCCCTCTCGGGACACCGGCACTGAGACGGGACCCCGTCCTCAGGCACCCGTCCTGACCCCGGGGACCGGGACCCTCTCTGGGCACCGGGACTGACCGAGGACACCGTCCCCCATCGCCGGGAACTGGGACCTCATCCAGGACACAGACACCCACCCAGGAACCGGGATCGACCCAGGACGGAATCTCCCAGCACCGGGACCCCATAGCGGGCACCAGCACCCACCCAGGGCCCCGCCCGGGACACCAGCTCTGACCCAGGACACCGGCCCCAACCCAGGACACCGGCCCCCAGCGCCAGCTTTGCCACCGGGACCCAGAACCCCACCCCGGGCACCCACAGGACACCGGCACCGACTTGGGACCCACAAGGATCCCTTCAGGACACTG